GCCCAAAAAGAGTAGCGCAGGCCTCCCTTTCGATACCCTAGTCGAGCAAGCGCTGGAGTGTGAGGAGCTCTCCAGCGAACGCGCGCAGCTCCGAGGGTCGGGACAGGAGTACACCGTGGCGAGCCTGATCCCTGACGAGGAGGAGGATGAGGATGAGCCCGCCAGCCCCATAGGGAGACGGGCAAGAGAGGCCCAGAAACCCCGCGAGACAACCCCGGGTTGGGTAGCTGGGTTACAGACCGGCATGGGAGATATTGCTGGCCGAGTAGACCGAATGGACGGTAAGGTAACCCAAGTAGGGGAGAGGGTAACCCAGGTACGCGAGGAAGCGAATAAAAATATGAAGACCCTCCAGTCTGAGATGGGGGAACTACGCTCGACCGTAGGGGGGCTGGCCGGGAGGGTAGCCCAATTAGAGTCCGATGTGGGACAACTGCGTACTGGGGGAGGGAGAGGGAGCGGACAGGGGACCCGCTACGGAGCCGCCCCCCCTCCCCGGGCATGTTATATGTGCGACCGCCGAGGGCATCTAGTGAGAGACTGTCCTGAAATCACCCGAGCTAGGCAGACGCGGGGGTTAAACTCCAACGCCCCCTAGAAAGCGGACCAACTAGGGGTGCAATCGACGCGGTCCCGATACAAATAGACGATAATGAGAATAATGGCGAGCGAGTGATCTCCACACAGGTTCCAGCAACAACGCCCACAGAAATGGTGACTCCTGGCGACTGGCTACGGGAGCTGGTGGCGGGGATCACGGGGGCCACGTCCCTGGTGGAAGGGGAGGTAAACGGAGTGCGTACCCGAATCCTGCTGGACACGGGGGCGGTGGCCTCGCTCGTGAGCGCAGCGCACTGCAGCGCGATCGGGGTCGACGTGCGTCACCTGCAGGCACCGGACCGCGCGCTGCACACGGCGAGCGGAGCCGGAATGGGGCTGCTGGGGAGAGCCACCTTAGAGGTCCGCATAGGCAGCCAGGGGTGCACCCAGGAGTTCTACGTGTCGAGTGCGTTGTGTCACGAGTGTATCGCAGGTACCGACCTCTTAGAACGGCTGGGACTCAACGTGCAACCCCGGCCAGCGATGCGCCACCGTGGAGAGCAACGGCGAGCGGATACCGTTCCTGGGACGAGAACCGACGCGCCCCCGCTTCACACCTGTGGCCGCTATCCTGGCGACGGCAGTCACCATCGGGCCGCTCACCGAGATGCTGGTGCCGGTGGCAACATCCCCCACCGACCCCGCGCTCCGACCATCAGGGGAGGTAATGCTAACTCCTCACCCGGAGTTGGCAAAACGGTATGGGATAGTGGGATCCGCCACGTTGGTAAACGCAGATGGGGACCGATTGTTTATGCGGATGTTTAACCCCCACAGTTCCCCAGCGATACTGCGACGGCGCACCCCGATAGCCACCGTACACCCCCTGCACGCACGCCACTCTAACGACTCGGTGTTCGCACTCTGGGCTGAGGACACCGGTCGTCCTGAGGGTGACCAGGACCTGGCCTGGCGAGTCGGCCTGACTCCCCGAGCCGAAGTCGTTCCCCTGCTCGATGCGTTACATGTACCATGGGCGGATTTACCTAAGGGAGAGGCCGATCGGCTGCGCGAGTTACTGCGGGAGTATGCCGACGTGTTCAGCGAACACGACTCGGACGTGGGTCGGACCGACCTTGTTAAGCACCAAATTGACACCGGTGCAGCCCGACCCATCAAACTCCCTGCGTACCGAGTGGGCGCACCCGAACGCACCCAGATCAAAGAGGCGGTTGGGGACATGCTTCGCGATAACATAATTCAGCCCTCGGCGAGCCCCTGGTCAGCCCCGGTGGTACTAGTAACGAAAAAGGATGGGTCAACCCGGTTCTGCGTCGATTATCGTAAACTGAACGCAGTCACGCTCGGCGACGCCTTCCCCATACCCCGCATCGACGACACTTTTGACAGCCTCGCCGGAGCGCGATATTTTTCCACCCTCGATCTCGCGTCCGGGTACTGGCAGGTGGAGATGGCGGAGGAGGATCGGCCGAAAACCGCATTCACCACCCCGATGGGACTATTCGAGTTTCGAGTACTCCCGTTCGGACTCACCAATGCACCCGCGACGTTCCAGCGGCTGATGGAGTTGGTGATGCGGGGTTTGCAATGGGAACAGTGCCTGATTTACTTGGACGATGTGATCGTGTTCAGTAGATCTTTGTCTGAGCATTGGTCCAGGCTACGAGAGGTGTTCCAGCGACTGCGAGCGGCTCATCTCAAGCTCAAGCCACGTAAGTGTTACATCGCACAACGCGAGGTGGGGTACCTCGGGCATCGCGTCAGCGAGGCAGGCGTGCGTACCGATCCGGAGAAGGTACGCGCCGTAGTGGAGTGGCCACGGCCAAGGAATCTGACGGAGATCAGATCATTTTTGGGGCTCGCCACCTATTATCGTCGATTTGTAAAGGGATTCAGCGAGACCGCCGCAGGAGCTACAGAGGACGGAACCACCCGCCCCGAGGCCAGCCACCAGGTCCGGACGGATCCCCCGGACCCCGCAACGTTTCCTCGTGGGCGCGGCCCAAGCGAGGTGCTCCAGTCAACCCGGGACGGGGACTGGCACCTCGGGGGGCTATGTGATGCCGCCGCCACGAAGCCGTTCGGCAGGCACCAAATCCCCGACCTCGCCACCACCAAGCAACGGAGCCGACCCCGCGTCCTCCTCACCTCACCTCACATGAACACACCCGCACTCATTTCCCCCCCCCCCCCATAGAGCTCCGAGGGGAGGTCGCCTGGCCGACCGGTTTTTATCCGAGAGACCCTTATCGGGATTAATTCTCACGGTTTCCGGCGATCAGGGAATTGGATGACCTCCCCCGTGCTACGTGGCACCGCGGCGCTGCGGCCGGCCTTAATATGGTGTGGTCGCGGCGTGGGGCATTCGGCCACCGCGGTTGAGGCGCATTTCCCCCCACACACACCCCCACGAGTCGACGGGGCAAGCAGGGGAGGCACGGGACAGCATGAATAGCGGGATCACAGGGGCTGTTGCGCATAATCATGGAGGGTTGGAATAATTGCGCTTGAGCGCGCAGGCCCCATTGTTAGGGAGGGTAAGGGGTTAATTAGGATGTACGCCGCCAACGTCGCTCACTGATTAGCATATCAACAGCGCCCGGAACCGCCGTGCGCGGGCTCGGGGTGCGCGAGCCCATTGTTCAGCGCAGCATCCCCTTTGAGGTAGGGAGGATAAATAGAGGGGCGCAGAGGGGAAATCGCTCTCTTCTCTCCAGGCCAGAGGACCACCCGCAGCTCCAGCCAGCGACCCGGACGTCCGTGCGACGCATCGAGGTGCGCTGTTAGCACAGGGAGCAGCGAACCACCGTGGGCATCAAACAGTGAGTGGGGAGGTGAAGTAAGATACTAGCCGATAGATAGGGGATAGGTACAGGTTTAGTGGAATAGGCCAGCCTCGTCGACTCAAACCGATTTAACATCAATTCGCAGTTAGCAAATAATAAATCATTAATAGCGAAGCGTGGCCTCGCGTGATCTTGTTGAGCAGTGGGAACGTGTGGGTGCGCGTGTGTACACCGTGGTTCGCCACGTGAGTGAGCGCTGCGTAGAGCGGCGCACGAGTGGGTGTCGCGTGTGTGCAGGTGTGTGCGCTCGTAGTGTGGGGGAAGGGGTCGGTGCGTCCGCAGGTCCCCGCTCCGTCTGTCGCCGCCGGGACTCGCGCAGTGTGAGGGCAGAGTCGTTCGCCCTCCGACCCCTGACCCCCGTTTAATAGAGCGTGATCCGTGGAGAGACAACGCAGCGTCTGCAGGTGAACGAGGGTGTGCGGCGAGCTATGCCTCTCACACGAGCTCGCGGAGGGACGGACCAGGGAGGGGAGCCGTCGGGCGATGAGCCCAGCGACGGCAGCAGCTGCTCGCAGAGCAGCGAGGGGTCGGCGCACGGCGGAGCCCCTGCCATAGGCACGGAGCAGGGAGGGACTTCGGGGACCAGCGGCCCCAACACAACTACGCGGCGTTCGCCGAATGCAGTTATATGTCCGAGGGCGATGACATGGGTTCGTCAGAGGAGGACTTGTACTGATCTGGGAGTATTGCGAATAAAACAATGAGGTTTATTAAAGTTTATTAAGGTTTGAACCTTAAACCTAAATTTCGTATCTGAAATTTTTTTCCACCCCTGCTGTAGCCTGGTTCTTAACCTCGGTGAGCGTACTAGCAGTTTATTATATTTTAATTATTTTTATTTTTTATTAACCTTATTTTTATTTCGGCTCATGATTATTAATGAGGGGGTGGGGGCGTGTTCCACATGAATGACATCATCAACTCATGATTATTAATGAGGGGGGGTGCTCCATGTGGAGTGACGTCACCCGCTCATAATTATTAATGACGGGGGGGAGGGGGCTCGTGTGGAGTGTTATATTAGTTGCTGCGTTGATTTCTTTATTCGCTGTTCTTTCCATTGAGGTGAAAATAAAAGCTTATTTGGGAAAACAGTTTTTCGTTTCCGCTGCACTTTCTTCATGCGGAGTGACGTCACTCATTCATGATTATTAATGACGGGGGGGGGAGGTCCATGTGAAGGACCCCACCTGTGCATGATTATTAACGAGGGGGGCTGGTCGACATGGAGTGACGTCACGCGCGTTACAAACAGACATTCTTGGCTCATATTAGTAAATGCATGAGTGAGGCTGGACATTTTGTACCAAAAATCTAATCGATTCCTAAACTTTACGAGTTTACGACAATGGAATGGGAAAATAAATTCCTCTGAGATCGGCTCGCCATCCCCAACCGCCCTCACCACCTCTGTGTGTCATTATTCTTGCTTGTCTCCAGCCGGTGTGCATTCCTCCTGCTCTTCCCCAAGGGGGGGGAGTAGTGGAAATTATCACAATTGGTTGGTTTTGAAAAACAGCTTGGGGCCATTGGGGTACGGCCACTCTGCTGTGAGCACGTGGCAGGAGGAAGGGGAGGGTGAGGAGGTCTCACCCCGGGTTGGCCTCCTCGTCCATGGCTCTCAAGTCGTTGATCAGCTCCTCTGCGTTGAACAGGACGCGGGTCCTGCGCGCCGCGTGATCGAAGGAGACGAGCATGTACTCGACCTGCGCGTTCACACGGGGGCAGACGCAGAGAGGAGGGGGAGACAGAGAGAGGGGTGCAGACAGAGAGATGAGGGGGAGACGGAGAGGTGGAGGAAGGTAAACAGCGGCACGGCAATGTCATTACGGCCAAGCCGATGCCCCTTTCAGACTGAAAATATCAACAAACATTCGTCAGTAACACTGTGGCGCTAGACGTAAAACGACAATATTTTTGTTGCTTGCTTGTGTTCTGTTGATTATTATTATTTTGTGTTGAATTGGCCATCCCTCCCCCCCACGCACCTTCCCACCGGTGTGACAGAAGTTCAACATACATACGACCAGCACCATCATCAGGGAGATGACAGGGGCTAGTGAGAGACGATGAGGTGAGCGACGAGGTTTGGTGGAGGGAGTGAGGGGGGCGATGGCGAGATGAGGTGAGTGACGAGCGGGTGTGAGAGCAGGTGAGGGGAGGCAATGAGGTTCAGAGAGATGTTGATGAGGTTTAAGATAATTTGCGGAATTGAGACGACGTGAGGGAGTGTGATGAGGTGATGATAAGGAGTGTGATGAGGTGAAGGTAAGGGAGCGTGGTGAGGTGATGGTAAGGGAGTGCAATGAGGTGCGGGTAAGGAAGTTTGATGAGGTAACGAGGTGAGGGCGGAAAGTGTTTTGAGGTAACGAGGTGGGTGTGGAACAGCCACGCTAGAATACAAGTTAGACACTTATTTGTTCTTCAAAGCACAGCCACACTAATTCCTAACACCAACCCCGAACACGCGTTTAACAGCCCCTTTTAAACCCTCCATCTCTGCCCTCGTTCCCAATCCACATTTCCGTCTCGCATGCCGAGTCCGTGTTCTTTCAGTGCCCTTTATCCCTTGACCCTCGTCTAGTATATTCCCGTGCGTGTGATTGGTGTGTGCTATGCTGAGTGTGGAGATTTCATGTCTGCGTGGTGCGAGTGCGTGAGGATAGCTCGCAGATCGCCTACATCACCCACCGCCTGAGCCGTCCTTGGCTCAACAACTTTGCGCCTCGGACGATCAAAGCCAACCGCGGCCGGGAGCATGTAATTTCAACAAACAACAATAAAAAAAGTGCAAGGAAGGCAAAAGTAACACAACAAAAATGTGCAATAAACGCAAAAGTAACACAACACAATTCCCCCTCCATCCCCTTGTTAACAAGTGCGCCGCCTCAGTTGTAGACTTCTCCCACGATCCGACCCCTCGACCAAACACAACAGGGTTGCAGAGATGTCTGTGTCCACAGCTGTGACGAGGTGGCGTGAGCTCGAGCGGGTTAAGGGTCCTCGTCTTGTGGCCAAGTCCTCGGCCGATGCTGCAGCTGCGTCTTCAGCCACGGACGCCGATGGATCCAGTGCTGGCGTCCCGGTCACTTGTAGTCCTGCAGGATGGACAGTGGCTGCATTGTCAGTCGGACGCCGAGCAGGCTGCCGGTGTGATAACCTCCCCCAACCCGGCCAAAGTGACGATGAAGGTGGTGAAGGTGACGATGCTCGTAGGGGCAGCTCGGCCGCGACGGAACGTTTTAGCCTAGAGGGGTGAACATACCACCTATACTCTTTGGTTCTTTCAGTAAAGTCACGTATGCTTGTGTTGCGCCCGAAACGTCATGATTTATTTTATTTTATACCTACCTGACTTTTCTGAAAGAACTAAGGAGTATACCACCTATGTTTTCCCAACTGAATGCGAATATATTGAGGTCGCAATACCTGTGTAAAATAGTTGAGGACTCTTGGACGCCGGGGTTGGAGGCACACGTATTTATTCTGCGTCAGTTGGCACAATCACAGACATACAACACTGGAGGGGGTATCGGCCCCCTTACCCGGCTAGCTGGGGATACACTTGCTAGCTATGCCTAACCTACCTCATAGTCCTCCACTAACGGGCTAGGGGAGGCTATCTGGCCCGACACTGGTAAGTCGGGCTTATGGTACCCGGAGTCCCAGACCAGCTCTGATAAGAGCACCGGCTCTGGCTCTCGGGACCACGCCGCTGGCTCGGTCCTGTTCGGCCCTGATAAGGGCGGCGATCCAGGGGAGTCCAGGGCTCTATCTGGACGATCTTCGGTCTTCACTGGTTTAGCTTTAACATTATTGCCTGAGCCCTCCGGCTCATCTCCTTATATACCAAAACCCCCCACTGAGGGGTGGGGCCAGGCTGCCCGGTGCGGACGTCGTTGAGAGCACCTCCCCGTGCACTCACGTAGCCCCGCCCACTGTGTTTGTTTCCCGTGTGATCCCATGTGAAGTACCGGTGAGGACGCTTGCCGCCGAGGTTGAGGCACACGTATGTTTATTCACAATATGACAGTGGGCATATACACACTCGAGGGGGTATCGGCCCCCTCACCCGTATAACTCGGGATACACCCCTAGCTAACTCTGTCCTAGCCCCGAATCCTCCACTAATGGGCTAGGGGAGGCTAACTGGCCCGACACTGGTAAGTCGGGCCCGGTACCCGGAGTTCCAGACCAGCTCTTACAAGAGCACCGGCTCTGGCTTTCGGGACCACGCCACTGGCTCAATCCTGTCCGGCCCTGAAAAGGACATCGAACCAGGGGAGTCCAGGGCTCTATCTAAGACGTCTTCAATCTTCTTCCCTTAGCTTAAACATAACTGCCGAGCCCTTTGAAACATCCCTTTTATACCCAACCCCTCCCTGAGGGGTGGGGCCCCGGGGGATCATAACGTTCGAACCAGCCCCCCCCAGGGTGTCTGGCTCGGACGTCGTAGAGGGCACTTGCTCGTGCACTTACGTAGCCCCGCCCACTGTGTTTGTTTTCCATAGGCTGCCATGCATAACGGGCCCTCTCTTTAACACCCCTACATCACCCCCCCCCGCATAACTTGCAGCCGTCCCGGCTGCCAACATACAAAAACGACAATAAAAGTGCATTTACACCTTGACCGCGCGTGTGCCTCACTATTTTTCAACAATAACAAGAACAGCAACAAGAACACAACAAAATGCAACAGCAAGAAGTGAAAACAACCCGACGCACCCCCCCTTGAATAAATACGAATTCCGTAAAAAAAACAACCTATATACAATTTGCAGGGAACCCACCATACACACAACACCAGGTGAACCCAACGTATGTACATTTCAATGGGCAGGGAACACACCACCCACACAACACACGATGAACACAACCTATGTACACATCTTCCGGCCTCATAACAGTCTGCGCATTTTTGCGCGCGTCCTTGCAGCGGGCCCCTCACACGGGGTAACCCCGGGTGGCGGACCGTCAGGTGGCAATTGTCCGTCCCGGAGTGAGACCTCATCCGATGCCGCGCGACCATCGGTATCCCCAGGAGGGGTGGTCGGGCGTGAGCCCGTCAGTCCTGATGCACCTGGAGGTGGCACGGCCGGCAAGGCATTAGGTGAGAACGACGGAGACGGACCCAGTGAGTCGGTCGACCCCCCACACGTTTGGCCACGCATGTGTGAAGTGGGTTTGTGTACCGCAACGAAGGGTTTTAACCTAGAGGGGTGCACGAACCATCGCCGCTTCCCCCATTTAATGCGCACGCACTGTGGTCGCAAAACTTCGACCACCTCCACAGGGCCCCGCCACGGCCGCGCCAGCTTAGGGGAGGTAGCCAGGGGCACTTGAGGACAGTGCAACCATGCCTTGTCCCCCGGCTTCCACTGTATTACGTGCGCCCGACCCAGCCTGAGGCGCTCATTCGCCTTTTGACGGAGGTCCGAGTTTAGCATAGCAGCATCCCGCGCCTCTGTTAATTTGGCCAGATTAAATTTGACGTGGTCAGCCAATTTAGTTTTCCCTTGCGGGTCGGGGATCTGCAGCTGGGCGCGAACAGGCGGGTCGGGTTCGCGACCGTACATGAGGTAAAAGAGGGAAAATCCCGTAGCTGCATGGGGTGCCATCCGGTATGCCGCCAAGACCCCTTGAATATGCAGGTCCCAGTCAGTCTGCGAGTCCGAGACCTGCTGTGACATCATTGACGTAATGGTGCGATGCAGGCGCTCGACCATTCCGTCAGTTTGTGGGTGATACGGGGAGGTACGAATTTTCTTCGTGCCTAAGAGGTCACAGACTTGTTTGAGTAATTTACCGGAAAAATTTCTGCCCTGGTCGGTCAGCAGCCGCTCCGGAGCACCTTTGTCCAGGACGTATCCTTGAACAAAGGCCTCCACGATGGCTGCTGCCGACTGGTTGGCAAGGGGCCAGGCCATAGGCCAGCGTGTAAAATACTCGACACCTGTCAACAAATACCTATTGCCCCTGGGGGTGGCGGGAAATGGGCCCAAAATGTCCAGCGCGACAAGCTCATTTATTCTGGATACTTTGATCGATTGCAAGGGCGGGTTAGACTCCCGCGCCGGCGGTTTCCGTTGCGCACACCGAGGGCATGATCCCAATAGATCCCCAACATCCCTCGTCATACCAGGCCAAAAAAAATCAAGTTGTAGCAGTGCAAGAGTCTTTTGGGTCCCCAGGTGTAATAGGCGCTCATGCGCGGCCCACACCACCTTGCCTCGCAACTCAGAAGGGACCACCAGCCGATGTCGCTGGGATTTGCCGTCCCAATGCATCAGCAGACCTTGCACCATTTCCCATGCATCCGAATCACCCTTCACCCGCCCAGCACCCCCGACGCGACGACGCCACCCGAGGAGGGAGGTATCCTCCATTTGGAGGCGCCCCCATTTAGTGACGGGCAACCCCAACAGGGAATCTCTTCCCTGTTGTTCGATCGAATTAGTAACCAATGGTTCGTCGTCGTCGGTGGCTGCCAAGATCGGAACCGATGCGTCCCCTGAAGGCCTGCAACGTCCCGACCCCAGGAGGCATGCACATTCGGAGGTGGTTGGCATGCGCGACAGAGCGTCCGCATTCGTATGGCGAACGCCCTTACGGTAGGTGGTTTCAAAATCAAAGTCCTGGAGAACCTCCAACCATCGAGACAACTGTCCCGATGGTTGTTGAACTCGCAGGGCATACTGTAGTGCCGCATGATCTGTGCGGACGGTGAAATGCCGACCGTACAGATATGGGCGATACTGTTGGATGAAATAGACAATTGCCAACAGTTCCCTACGGGTGACACAATATTTTTGCTCCGCAGGAGACAACACCCGACTACCGTACGCGACCACCCGTTCCACGCCATCAACCACCTGGGAAAGCACACCCCCAATACCCGTGTTGCTCGCATCGGTGTCGAGCAAAAAGTGCTTAGAAAAATCTGGGTAAATCAAGGGAGGGGCTTTTACCAGAGCGTCCCGAAGGGAGCAGAAAGCAGCCTCCTCCTCTTGACCCCAGTGGAACCGAACCCCTTTAGATGTTAAAGCGTGCAGGGGTTTTGCAATTGTCGCGAAATCAGCGACGAACCGTCGGTAATACGACGCAAACCCAATGAAACTCCTGACCTCTCCCACCGAGGTGGGAGTCGGCCAGGAGCTGACACACTGCGTTTTGGCGGGATCGGTAGCAATACCTGAGCGTCCCACGATGTGCCCCAAATAACGCACCGAATCGCGCAACAAATGGCATTTTTGGGGCTTGAATTTCAAATTAGCAGCCCGCATCTTTAGGAAAACCGCCCGCAACCTCTGGAGATGTTCGTCAAAAGTTTTACTAAAGACGATAACGTCATCCAAATAAATGAGGCACGACTCCCATTGCAATCCAGCCAAAACCAATTCCATCAAACGCTGGAAAGTTGCCGGCGCTGAGTGTAAGCCCATCGGCAACCGGTTGAATTGGAACAGGCCATGCGGTGTACGGAAAGCAGTTTTAGGCTTTGAATCATCGTCCAGAGGAAGCTGCCAGAATCCCGAAAGTAAATCCAGTGTGGAAAAGAATCGCGCTCCCGCCAAGGCGTCCAGCGATTCATCCATCCGAGGGAGCGGGTATGCGTCGGCAACCGAAATTTTGTTAAGACGCCGGAAATCAACGCAAAACCGCAACGAACCGTCCTGCTTTTTAACCAGGACGATCGGCGCTCCCCAAGGGCTGGTGGAAGGAGAAATGATGTCGGCGGCCAACATGTCATCAACAGCCGATTTGACATGGTCCTTTTCGGCGGGACTCAACCGAAACGGATTTTGGCGAATTGGCGCGCTGTCACCCGTGTCAATATGGTGACGCAGCAGGTGAGTACAACCCAAATCGTATTTATTCCGACTAAAAACGTCGGAAAATTCCCGCAGTAGTGTTTTAAGTTGTTGACGCTCTGAATCTGACAGGTCCGTCGATCCCGCACAAAGCGCCTCGAGCCACCCTTCATCGCTGTCCGAATGCGGTCGCGGCGCAGGGACAACGCTGACGTGATTTGCGACGGGTTCCTCACATGGCACCGGCGTTGCGTAAGCAAGCACGGTCCCCTGTGGGACCACCACCGTCTGCGAGCCCACATTGAGGACCGCGATGAAGGGTTCACCGTCCCCTCTTACTATGGTCTGGGCCG